TACTCTCACCTATCGTGGTATGTTTTATAGCCCCATTACCGACGTATCAAACGCAGCAGGACCACAGGGAAAATCTAAAATACGCTACTTTTTCAAATGTAACACACAAGTGATACCACACGAAAGCAAATGTTCACCGTTCCGTGTCTCCACTTAGACGGAACTCCATTCTTGAGAGGTGAACGCATTGACAGACCGAGGATAACAGATGCCCCATAACTATCAACAGTTCATTAACGTGGAAACTTCAGATAGCATTACGACGATCGAGGGTCAACAATTACGGGCTTTGTCTAAAACTTGATGGGTAAATGTGTACTAGAATGGGTGTCTTTTGTGAACGGTATTTATTGTCTTCGGTCTGTTAATCTGTTCACCTATCAAAAACGGAGTTCACTTTTAGTAGCGATATGACATCGAAACATTCATTTTTTGTTATATCACTTTTTGATTCATGTCAGGGCTTGTGAATGCTAAACAGTATGCCATTTGTGTTACATTTGAGTTGTTTACTCACGTGAGTATTGCATGTTATACAAAAGCATTGAGGCCGTGTCAGGTTGTTTGACGATAAGGGCATATAGTTTAAACCCTCCGATTAATCAATATGTAATGCAGCATACGATCGCCATACCTCATTTCTTAATCAAGCTTTGAAACATCAACATTAATTGATCTCAGAATATTCCGATACTTTTTTCTATCTGACTCGCTTACCGCGTTATGACTAAAGTCTGTGCGTCGAAGCTAACAGACTATGGGTCGTGGCCACTGCTTAATGAGAAAACGTGCAGTTAATCTGAATTAAATAATCAAACAAACTTGATTGTCAATCATTGCATCCCGCCCCTCAGAGACCATCGACTGCATGAGAGTACGGAGTGCATATTTTTGTTCTCAAGTATTTCATCACAAACTGATTTCGCATAGTAAAGATGATATCTTATTAAAAATAGACGTTTGCGCCACTTCGTCGTTTGCAGTGTGTTCCTCCAATTCACATTTACCGAATCGTCCAAGTCATGTTTTGTCGCTTGGTGTAAAATTACCGCTTCGTTGAACTGGATTGATTAATAATGCATAATGACTCCTACCTCGTCTTCCCCCATCCCTCCACACCCGTGTGTGTGTGTGTGCGTTTTACCGGCCAGAGCTTAAAGTTCCTCTGAGCTGCTGTCGCGGATTGGCCGTAAATGCCACACCAGACTGTGTACTATCCAGCGATCCAATTTATATATACACTCGGGTAAGTTGTCCTGTCTGCGTACAAACCAAAATTGTCCCGAAACATTGCTAATTGCCAGTTCACTGTTCTGTTTATGCTCTGACCGGAAAGCAAATATAAAGTGCGAACAGTTCAGAAACTATCATAGCGATTTTTTATGTCCATATGCTACTACTACTACTACTGTTGTTGTGAGATGCACTTGTGAATAGTAGGTAACTTTCCATGATCAAAAATATAACAAGACCGTCAAGGGCCAAGAAAGAATTACGATGGCACGTTTCTGATTAGATTTTTGTGTTATGCATGCGAAATTACTGACCTCCCATCCATAATCCGCAAAAACTGAATATCCTTGACCAGCACCGTCTTGTGAAATAATAACACTACGAGTATTATGATTTATGAGGACACTCATCAATCAACGGCAACAAAGAACGAAACTGCAACCCTACCTCATTCCCGAAAGAATCGCCTTTTTCATCGACAGCGGGAAATGTATATACTCCTTCAGTCGTTGAAAATCCATATTCATTCACTGTGACTGCATATTGTGCGAGTGAAATCTGCACGTTAGAGTGATCTGGATTGGACGTGTGTTAATCTTCAAGCAAAACTCTGATGACTTCAAGTGAATCAGCCAATCGCATTATACCAGGAACTCAAAAGTGATTGGTACCTCAGTCGTCCCAGGTTACCCACTGGACCGGTTGATTTAAAAACCATTCCAGTTAAATTAAACCGATTCCTTCTTAGCCAAGTAAAAATACCTTTTGAGTAATTTGCCGAACGGGGAGGAAGTTTTCCGCGGGGCTGGAGAACCTCGACCATTGGTCGAGCAAGCTTTGGAACTGAATGAAAGAACCCGGTGTTTGTTGCCCTCGGTCGATCAAATGTTAATTATGATAAGTTTATTGGTAATCAAGGGAGAGCAAGTGAATGTATTGCAATACACTAACCAGTTCGAGAATGTATGTACAACTTTTCAACCACGGAGAAAAACCCACCGATATATCAAAATGATCAATAACTGAATCCAGGATTCAACTAACGACGTTTATTGAAACATCGTGTTCTTAAAATATGACCACTGTTGCACCAGTTCCGGATGGTTACACCACTAAAAGTTACTGACAGTAACTTTAGTTGTTACTGTCAATCGGCCTTGATCAAAATGCTATCCATAAGCGGTGCCTCGTACGATGGATTCACTGGAGCAGCAATTGGGGATTCCAAGTAGAACGCGTTTGCTGCATTCAGTTTGAGTTTGAAAGATATAGAGAGCTCCGCGTGTATTTGACAATTATTTCTGCACTATCCAGTGATGCCAGTTCGAAACCATTTTGTGTCTAAAGTAAGTAGACGGGAAAACCGGTTTTTTTAAACTCAGTCTTCAAGGGATAGCACATGTCACCAGTTTCTATCAACCAATTCATCACGAGATTGAGCTTGAATTCAGTGAACTCAACAGTTGAATGAATTCCCATTCACCTGTTCTGCATTGTCAATGATGGCATTCCAATCGAGAAAATAATTTCAATGAACAATCTATAATTGATTGCTGATTGGAGCAATTTGTCTCTGTAAATTCGCCAATCCATGATTTTCACTGCAGCATGTATTCAAAGCTACAACACACGTTATATGCTCTCAGCTCACGATTGACTTTCGTTTTGAAGCAAAGCCCATACCATATTTTCAGTAGCATCAATTGTGCCGTTGCACAGTCACTATCTTGTGAAATACCATCACCACTGGAAGTTTACTCCTTCCAGTTGTCCAGTTGCAAATCGGCGCCATTTTGTATGGTTGAAAAGAAATAGAGGAAGATGCGCTTTTCCGTCTCAAACTTCACCGGTAAATACGTATTGGGTTTATGAAGACAAAACCTACCAGTTCACCAAATCAGCTTCTTCCGGTAAAACCACATGATGTATGTATGTACACACGTCATACCGACAATTATTGTCTATTGTTAAGCTATTTCATGCGACTCACCTAGTTTTGCAACATCTCTGAGTTAGATAGACAAATCTATCAAACGTCAGAATGGTTCAAAAACTCTCTTTTTCATACGATCACCCAACATCAACTTCTGTCCAATGTATCGAAGCACAATAGCCCTGATACAATACAATCCGGGAATAAGCTTCAGACGAGTCGATTGGGATAGAGAGAAATGGGCATAAGCTTCAATCAGACGATTGGGATAAAGCAAAACGAATATACAATAGCCGAGCACACTCCATGTTGCAGGCAACTCGCAAAGCACTGATCCATCCCACTGATCAAGCGAGATTGATTCCCACGATATCCACGCTTGCCGGTTTCTTACTGCCTCCATACAAAGGCCCGATTGGATTACGAGTAAAGCTGACCGGACGGTGGATTTAACCTTTAAATCATCATCATCGTACAGCTTTGCTGTCGTCCGCTTCAATAACACGCCTAAGCTATCGGGGCCCTATTGCGGTTCGCCACTCCAAGTCCCGCTGGGATTAGGTTGCCGGTTTCCACCACTGAACAGCAGATCGTCCTGACTATGTGGTTCGCCCCGTTTGCTCTTCGTCACACTTAGCTGTTTGATAAAATAACTGAAATGCTCTACATGTGGAAATGCATTGATCTATGCTATCTTTATGTATGCATTTATGCATGTCATCATCATCGGACAGCGTGTTACAGTGACGCGGACCTCACTGATCGCTGCCAAGCTCACAATGTACACAAATCAAGTGATAAAGCACAAGATGGAGAGGAATTGGGCCTAATTGGAGGGAGGCAAAAAAACCTAAATGATCAACACACAGAGTACACAATTGAAGTATGCATACATACCTTTTCAAGCATTCCGACCTGATAAAAAATGATAACAAGAACGCCACTGCTGTCGGTTAGTCGCTATATCTTTCAGTGTCCCCAACCAGCCAGTTGCAGAGTCTTTCGGAGCCCAACCTGGAAGACGGGAGACACTGACTCACGTAATCACTCTGTGCATTTCTTCATGCCTCGCTTCCACGTCATCTGTTGACCTCCATGCGGTTTCTTCCAACCTGGAGCCGCAACTGCGAATAGGGTGCGGTGCGGCAGACTATGGCTGGGCATGCTCAATACGTGTTCTAAACAGCGAAAACGACTCATCTTATTTCGGTAGAACAACGAATTCTCTACCGAATTATTACCAAATACGCGACGACTTACCTCAGAGTTGCTTACTAGCTCGCTCCATCCAACCCGCGTCAAACTATGTAAATATCTGCAGTCGAAAACTTCTAGACGAGGAATATCTTCCACGCACAAATTTAGGGTCTCGCAACCATCGAGCAGAACCGACCGCACACTGGCGCAGTATACACGACCTTTCAGTTTCAACGAAATATCGCGTCCACACCAAAGGTGTTTCAGTCCTGCGTAAGCTGCTCCAGCCTTGGAAATGCGGGTGGTTACTTCATTGACTATGTTACCGTCATTTGAAGCGCAGTTAACCAAGTAGATGAAACATTCCACTACAGCTAATTCTTGACCATCAAGCATCAGAGCTGAGGGTAGACGACGCTCAGTCTTGTAGCATCACTTTGAACTTTGAAGGTGCAAAGCGCATGCCGAAAGAAGATGCGGAACTTGCTAGTCTGTCCAGAGCACTTTGCGCATCCTCCATACATTCAAACAGACAAACTATATCGTCACCTTACTCTAAAACGCACAGCTTTTCTCCAGCTGCACATTCAATAGCTGCGTCTTGGAGAGTACTGAGTACGTTCTCCAGCATTTCGTTTACAACGAAATTGAACAGGAATGGTGAAATAGGGCACCAGTGACGAACACCTCTTCTGGTTTCGAATGATTTACTTAGCACACCGTACACCTTCACGCTAACAGAAGTTTGCAGGTACAGTGACAGCCATATGCTCACATACTTCCGCGGCATTCCTTTGCGAAGCAGCGACCCTAGAAGATCTTCACGGTCAACTGAATCGAAGGCTCCTTTTAGGTCAATGAACACTGCG